CACAGCGACTGGGGACCCCATAGTGAGTGGGAACTCGGGGGTGAAGCACCCCCCGGGGGACCCAAGGAGATAATGTGCCCCCTCGAGTGATGCAGCACCCTGGGGCGAGCAGGGACTTGGCCGAGCTGGCCCCTGATGGCAAACAGGGACCTCAGGACAGGTAAGGTCCCAGGGGTAAGCTGGCACCCCGGGACAGGTAGAGACTTTGGGGGTGAGTGGGGACCCCAGAACAAGCACAGCCCCAGGGCTGAGCTGTCACTGTGGGATGAGCAGGCACAAGTAGGGACCTCCGGGAACAAGGAGGCTGCAGAGGGGTGACTGGGGACTCACACAGGGACAAACAGGGACCGTCAGGGTGTGGGACCATGGGTCCCGGGTGCTGCCTGTCCCCACTTTACCCGTAGGAACCCACCCCCAGAGTTTGCTGCACCCCAGGGCTGGGCTGGGGGACTCCTTGGAGCCTGTGGCCACCAGCCCACTGTCACTGGGGTTGTCCCCATTGTCCATCTCCTCGCCCAGGGCTCCTGTGTCCCCCTATGTCCCCACTGTGTCCCCAGCAGGTCCCTTCCCCCTTGGTGCTGGTGTGCTGGCACAGGCTAGTCCGTGCTCATCCTGGCTCATCCCTCTGGCAAAGCAGGGACACCAGGAATCCAAGGGACAACTTGCAACAGGAGCAGTGTCCGAATGGTGTTGCCGGTGGCCACGGGCCACCATGTCATGCTCAAGCCTCTGGCTGGTGTCCTTGTCCCTTTGGCACCTCCAGGAGGCTGTCCTGGCGTGGTGGTTGGCACGGCCCTCCCCGCGGCGCCTAGCCCAGGTGGTGGTGGCGCGGTGACGGTGGTGGTGCGGCCTGCTCAGACTGCTCATGCTGCTCACACTGCTCAGACTGCTTATGCTGCTCACACTGCTCAGACTGCTCATGCTGCTCACACTGCTCAGACTGCTCACATTGTCACACTGCTCCGACTGCTCACATTGTCACACTGCTCAGACTGCTCACGCTGCTCACACTGCTCAGACTGCTCAGAGTGCTCACACTGCTCACACTGCTCATGCTGTTCACACTGCTCACACTGCTCAGGCTGCTCAGACTGCTCAGACTGCTCACTCTGCTCACTCTGCTCACTCTGCTCACACAGCTCACACTGCTCACACTGCTCAGACTGCTCACACTGCTCACACTGCTCACACTGCTCAGACTGCTCATGCTGCTCACACTGCTCAGACTGCTCACGCTGCTCAGACTGCTCACACTGCTCAGACTGCTCACGCTGCTCAGACTGCTCACGCTGCTCACACTGCTCACACTGCTCATACTGCTCACATAGCTCACACAGCTCACTCTGCTCACATAGCTCTGCTCACACTGCTCACACTGCTCACATAGCTCACACTGCTCACATAGCTCACACTGCTCACACAGCTCACACAGCTCACACAGCTCACACTGCTCACACTGCTCACATAGCTCACACAGCTCACTCTGCTCACATAGCTCACTGCTCACATAGCTCACACTGCTCACACAGCTCACTCTGCTCACACAGCTCACTCTGCTCACACAGCTCACTCTGCTCACACAGCTCACTCTGCTCACACAGCTCACTCTGCTCACACAGCTCACTCGCTCACACAGCTCACTCTGCTCACACAGCTCACTCTGCTCACACAGCTCACTCTGCTCACACTGCTCACTCTGCTCACACTGCTCACTCTGCTCACACAGCTCACTCTGCTCACACAGCTCACATTGTCACACTGCTCAGACTGCTCAGACTGCTCACTCTGCTCACACGGCGCTCTGCAGCAGCCACGCGAGCACTCGGCGCCGGCGGTGGCGGCAGAATCTGTCCCTGGGGCACTGGCACTGGCGCTGGCTGTGCCCGGTGCCGCCGCAGAGCCGCCGGGCTGCTCCCCCCGCAGCACATCGGAGGTGGTGGGGCTGCCGGTTCCTGCCGTGCCCTGATGGGAGTGGTGAACCCCGAGGAGGGGGGGTGGTCCCTGGGGTGTGGGACTCTCTGGTGCCGCTGCTGCCCTGCCCCACCCCCCCAGAGGTGGGGACCCATGGTTGGTGGGACGTGGAGCGTCCATCGCCGTGGTGTCTGGGCATGGGCATGGCTCTGTAGGGTAGTGCATCCTGACTCCCCACTGCTCCCCCCACCAAACCCCCCGTGTTCCCCAGCCCTGCTGCTTGCTCTTGGGGTTGCTGCATCCTAAAACATCTCCCAGCGGGATTGAGGTGACGCTCGGGTGTGTCCCCTGCCCATCCCACAATCCTGGTGTGCCACGTCGGCATGGCAGGGACCCAGCCCACTCCAGGATGTCCTGGCACAGCTGTTCCTGCCATGGCACCAGGAGCTGTCCCTTGCCTGCAGGGGTCCCTGAGCCAGGTCCTGCCCCTTTCCACACCCTTCTGGCTGGATCCTGCTTGGAAAGATCCTGCTGGGTGTTCATGTGTTGATGCCATGCGTGTGCCACTGGGTATTGGGGACCTTGGGGAGGGTAACAGTCCTTTTCCCCAGCCTGTGGCTCCCAGCAGCACCCAGACCCACCATCCTACCCAGGATGGGATGCTCCTGCTGGACTTTGATGGGATGGGCACATGTGGCATTGCTGACGTGGCATGGTGAAGTGCAGCCAAGGGGTTTGCCCCCCACGCTGGGGGTCTCCGCCTGGGTACTGGGGGTTCTCCACAGCCCCCCAGGAGCTGATTTCTCCCTGGATTCCTCCTGGATTGCTCCTGGATTCCTGCTGGATTCCTTACGGATTACTCACCTAATTAAGTGGAACCTGAAGGTCTTGCCTTGCTTTGAGGCTGCAGCCCCCCCTGCTCCTCCTCCCTCTTCCATTAGGGATGCAAGTCCCGTCTAACCTGTTTCCTGGAGTCTGGGAACAAGTTGGTGCCATGGCTGATTCATCACCGGGACATTCAATGGCCTCAGGGCTGGGATTTGGTGGCCTTGGGACTGGCTACATGTTGGGGGACCCCAGCCAGGACCCCCCATCCCACTCCTTGGAGATCTGAGTTTCCCCAGGGGAGATGGTGTCCCTACAAACCCTTGGGATGCAGTGGGAGGGTCTGGAGTGCTGGTGGAGCTACCAGTGTGGCTGAGCTTGGGGACCCCCTTGGTGGCCGTAGCCCCCTCAGGCAGAGGGCTGGGTCTCCCCCTTGGATATTCTCCTGTTCCACAGTCTGATGCCCATTGGCTGTTGCCTCGGGCTGGCATAACCCCAGCCCTGGGGACTTTGTTGCCCTTCCTCCTCCTCCTCCTCCCCCTCCTTCTCCCTTGCCCTGTCAGTCAATATTGACTCAGGGCTGGGACGTGCGTGTGGCTCTGGGCGCTTCCCTTCCCGGGTGGCACTGTCCCCTCTCCTGCTGCGACCCCCCTGGCACCCTGGGACATGAGTCACCTGAGGCAGCTCCTGCTCTACCAGCTGCACCAGGCTCACTGCTCTGCACTGGGAATAACCGGGAGCAGTGCAGAGCCTGCTCCCACATCCACCTGGACACGGTACCGGGCTGGCCTGGCTGCACCTGGGAGCAGGGGCTCTCCAAACATGTCACCTGGGGGGCACTCCCCAAAACCACCCTGCAAGGGTGTCCCTGGCTGAGTTTTTGGGTCAATGGAGGGGCTGGAGATGGGCTCTGTGGGGCAGGGTGGGTCTCTGGGATTGAGGATAAGCACTGTGGAGTTAGGGTTGAGTTCCATGGGGCAGGGATGGGTCTCTGGGGTTGAGGCTTGGGGACAGGCTGCATGTCCGTATCCCACTCAAGGGGCCACATGGGGATGTTCCCCGTTGCTGGTTGTTGCTGTGCCCCTTCCCAGGTTGGTCAGCGAGTGCTAGGGTGGCAGCTCCACCCCTAAATCCTGAACCCCAGGGCCTGGGGGGCAGGAGGGGTTGGTGCCATCCCTGGGGATAACCAGGAGCCGGTGGCATCCCCAGGGACAGCCTCTGGCTGCTCTCCCTGCCCCACGCTCGGCTCCAGCGCCCTCGGCAGATGGCATCTCTGCTGCTCGCACCTTCTCCTTGTCTCCTCGCCTTCCCTGGATCTGGCTGCCATGGTTACAGAGCAGCTCCTGACCTCGGGTGGTGCTTCCCACTCTGCTCCCCCCACCTAGCGTGACCCATGCTGCCCCACAGCACCAGGCACAGCCCCACACACGGGCTCCCCCTGGCTCCCCCCTGCAGGGATGCAGCTCTGGGGGAGCCCAGTGAGGAAGGGGTGGGGGGTAGGTGGGAAGGTGGCCCTCCAGAAGGGACCCCCAGACCCAGGGCTCAGTGCCACGCTGCCTCGAGGTGCTGCTGGCCCTGTGTGCCTGGGCTATGGGGTGCCTCTGGGTGGCAAACTGGGCCAGATGGGGCAGAGCTGCTTGTTGGGGTCGAGGTCTTCTTGGAGGGGGGTTGCATTGGGTTCTTTTGGGAATCTAAGAGGAGACCCTGCCACCTGGGGGTCCCCACAGCCACCTTCCCACCTGGGGGTCCCCACAGCCGCCCTCCTGCCCAGGGGTCCCCATGGGCACCCTTTCCCCCCAGGGCCCCCCTGGGAGGTGTGTCACAGCCCCTGCCTTGCAGTGCAGGATGGAGTGCCGGGACGTGCCGGCGGAGACGCTCTACGACGTGCTGCACGACATCGAGTACCGCAAGAAATGGGACACCAACGTCATCGAGACCTTCGACATCGGCAGGCTGACAGCCAACTCTGACGTGGGCTACTACGCCTGTGAGGAGGGGCTGGGGGTCCCTGGCTGCCCATGGGCTCCGACTACATCATCATGAACTACTCCGTCAAGCACCCCGTGAGTTTAGGGGGGCACCAGTGGTCCTGTGGGGCTGGGCTGGGGCTGGGGCTCACTCAGAGCTTGCAGGCGGGTGGGTTGGAGGGGGTTGGGGGCTGCTGTGGGGGGTCATGACAGCCCTGCCTGTGACTGGTGCCTGCTGTACCTCACCTGCCCTGCCACTGACTCGAGTGCCCCCGTTGTGCCCCACCACAGAAATACCCCCCCCGCAAGGACATGGTGCGAGCAGTCTCCATCCAGACGGGATACCTGATCGAGGGCACGGGCGCCAAGAGCTGCACCATCACCTACCTGGCACAGGTGGACCCCAAAGGTAAGGGGGGGACCCCCCTGTCTGTGCCCCAGGACTCAGTACCCCCCGGTCCTGCTGTACCTCACCTGCCCTGCCACTGACTCGAGTGCCCCCGTTGTGCCCCACCACAGAAATACCCCCCCCGCAAGGACATGGTGCGAGCAGTCTCCATCCAGACGGGATACCTGATCGAGGGCACGGGCGCCAAGAGCTGCACCATCACCTACCTGGCACAGGTGGACCCCAAAGGTAAGGGGGGGACCCCCCTGTCTGTGCCCCAGGACTCAGTACCCCCCGGTCCTGCCCTGGTGTCCCTGGGGGGCAGTCTCGCAATGTGTGCCTGGGGGGGCTCAGTGGGGTCTTGGGGAATCTCATGGGGAGCTCAGGGGGGGCTCAGGGTGGGCTCAGTGGGGGCT